AACTTCATATAATTTATTTTTCAAAACGAAAAAGATATGTCACATGCTCAAATATCTCCCCTTGAACAACCATGTCCGAAGTCACCCTTTTGGGTTTAGTCATGCATCGTTTTCCATATTAGAATCTCGGCCCACGCGCTTTAGGTTTTACATTTCAAAACCCAAAAGGCAAAAATGGACGGTTTAGATTGGTCGGTGATGGTTCACCAATGTGCGTAGAGTCTGACTTTGGTTGTCTCTTTATTACACGTTTAAAAATAAGTGGAAAGATTCTATACTCCTGCAGGAGCATACTATCTATTATCTATTTGCTCCCTCGGCTACAACCTAAGGACTATTTTCACGTCCTTGAACTTTCGTATCAAACTTTGACTTCTTGGGCCTAGTGACCAACCTTAAGAAAAAAAAAAAAAGAAGAAAGTTCAAATGTATTAAAAAAAAACCAAAAAAAATTCAAATTGCACTCTCTAATATAGCAATACAAGATTGAATAAGGATAATCTTATTTTTGAACTGTAAGATCTAAGTATTGAAGAACTAAAAATCTGGAATAATCATCTAGACATTCTAAGGTGGATCCGAGATGAAAAAATTAGACCCACATAACATTTTTTTGCCAGAGCGAGTAAAATGTATATAATAAAAAAATTTATCCCTGATATTAACAATCGGTTCAGGTTGCTTGACCGGGTGAAACTTAAGAGAGGAAAGACAATGACACTCGAAATTTGGATTGTTGCACAAATACAAGGAAATGACAGGGTGAAACTCAAGAGAGGAAAGACAATGACACTTGACATTTGAATTGTCGCACAAATACAAAGACATGACAACCACCCCGGACCTTACCGTAAATTCTACTCTCCACATGAATAAATTATAGGAGAGTAGAATTTAAGGTCCTTGCTGATTGTCCTTTCCTCGTGGTCACACACAAATCCAAATTTCGAGTGTCATTATCTTTTCTCTTCTGGATTATCAATATCTCATAAAAGAGGGGAGATTTTTTTGCACAAGACTTTGAAAGAGGGAGAAATTTTGTGCACAACTCTAATATGCTCCCATAACTAGGAAGTTTCGAGTTAATGAATACAAATAAAATAAGAATTACAATTGATCGGTATGAGAATGAGAGAGAGAGATTGGATTATATTTTGACTCCAGAGAGAGAGAGAGAGGTATTGCATTATTTGTTTGGCGGAAGTTTTGTCTTCGGAAAGAAAACCTTCAAGCGGTTTGGCTCCAGTGGAGGATATGGAAGGGGACAGCTTCCTCTTTGTCCAACGGTGAAACGCAACTTCCAAAATTGTTTATATTAGCACATGAATGCATGTAGGTACTCAATTGCCAGGTTCGACCAGCCGGACCACCAGCCAATGTCTTTTCATAGGTAGTCTACAATGAAAAACTAATGGCTTTTGATAGGTAGTCTAAAATGAAAATCGAGTTTGGTTGAAAATCAACTGATTTTGGTTGTCAAAGTTTTGACGGGTTTGGCTGATCACACCAATTTCAAAAGCTTTTTTATACAGAAAAGTCATATAAGGTGTCAATCTTATACCGTAGAAATAAAGTGCACCTTAAAAACTTAGTGAAAATGGTTGTTCTAAAATTGAAAGAACCCTCTAATTGATCATCTCAACCTCGAGATGTACGGGTGTGTGAAAAATAAAAATTAAATTCAAAACATTTTATCTTATAATATAATATATATTATCTAGAGTCTAGACCATCCATTTCCAAGATTTCCATATGTTTATAAATTATCTACATTATTTTCAAAGCTTTAATTGTCACAACTAGATATGAAAGTAGATTTGAAGATATCCAACATGCTAACAACATATTTCGGTATCAATTTGAGGTGTGCCTTTGTCTGTTTAACGCACTACAAACCTTATATTTTTTATATTTCAAACTATTTTTTCATATTTTTTTATATTTTTAAAATCCAATCTAACTAACCCCTTCCTGTCTAGATAACACGACTTACTTGCATGAGGAGGTGGTAACCACATAGCCCGTACCCTAATGACAATACAAAACGTATGTATTTTTTTGCGGTAGATGTCTAGTTAATGGAAGAAAGGGC